AATCGAAGATCCAATTTGCAACTTGATATACTCGTTTAATTTACTTGTTGGGAATAATGGCACCGGCACGTACACTTATGTGTAATTAATAATTCATACCGTGCGCGTGTATCCAGCGAATGGTACACACCAATGAAATTAATTTCCTAAACACAGCAAGCTGCATATTGAACGTCCTCGTTAACATAGTTCATCGTTAAAAAGGAACTCTTGAAACGAACGATTCATCAGCCAATAATCCCCCTCAAACACGCGGTAATCAGTGAAATTTCCTTAATGGACGTTCTACGCGGGCGAAAATCAACAATCCCGGGCTTCTACCTACCTCGACCTAGTGCCCGACTATCTCTTCACGGTTCGCAAATTATACACTATCCGAAACGTTTCGAATTTCCAGATTTCTGTGTGCACGTGGCCGCCGTTGAAAGGGACTGGGGCGAGAGAACAGTGGAAATGGCGGACGCGAAACGGACCATCCGCCGCTTGGGGCCGAAAAACGTCGCTGCCCGCTGGAGAGGAGTTACCCGACTGCCTGCAGGCTAAAACGATATAGAGGCGACGGGAATTGACTCTTCGTTCTAATCTGTTCCTAATCCTCCGTAAGAAGACTCGCGATACATGGTACCAAGACCTGTATCCTCGATATCCCCGGAATATGGAGTAATTAATACGAATTCCGTAAACACACGGAACCGCGGATGTAGAACTTGTAAAGCCAGTGTAACGCTAAGACTGCAGCGTTTTACACGCGCTACCTTTATTGAAGTGTGAACTATATTTCAAAGCAACAGAGTATTTCTAATAATCTAGTCGCGCATTAAGAGACAGTCTCTGTAACATCAGAAAATACGCGACGCATAAAACACCGCAGAACGTTCCGTGACCTAATTCCCCATCGTTCTACGCCACTTAAACAAACGAGTAATACGACAAATAAACGAATCGCACTGTCTCGCTTAATTAATATCGAACAATGTAATTCCGTTATTACCGCGTATTCATCTTGTCGAATGTCAACGGATTATAATACAGAGACACGTCGAAATAATGATCGCTCGATCAATCGCGTTACAATAGTTCCATTTATTTCGTCGTGACCTCGTGACGCCCGACGCATTAACGGTGTCATTACGGGATACAAACGAGCGTTCGTTCGTTTAGCGCGAGAGCGCCGCGGCACGCCGGGGCGAGGATAACCGTCGGTAAGCCCGCGCAGCCAAGACAGCCGACTGACAGCGTCGTTCGAGGTAATGGATTATGTCACGCGGGGTCGGCGTTCCGCGATTTTAAAGACGCCGACGGAAATATCCGTCGGAGACGGCGGCCGGAGCGAATGCCGCCTCTCCGACGGGTTTTTGCGGGGCGGCACCGAGCGCTGCCAACACTTTCAGCGCCGCCAGCCCCGGCGCGGCGTCGAGTTTCTTTCATTCGAGCACACCGGCCTCGCCCGGCTTCCCACCCTCGCGACTAAGACAAATGGTATATATTTATTTCACGGCGAGCCAGCCAGTGGATTTCTCCTTTCTCTATTTTGCATCGCCCTCGTTAAGCATTTCATTTTTTCCTTCGCCCGGCCCCGCTCGCCGCGCGCTCCCGCGCCGCCGGCTCTTTCTTCTCCGCCCGACGCACCGCGGATTCCTTCCTCTGGCCGGCTCCCTAGCCGACTTTTTCACCGCGCCGTCTCGCTCCTTCGTCTTCTCCTTCGCCGTGAACCCCGAGTCATCCAACCGTTTCCCTTCTCCCCGGCTCCCCGCGCCGTCCACTCCGCCTTTCGCTCGCCGGCCTCTTCATTCGACCCCGACGCGAGAGAATCGGCGAGCGAGAGGCCGCGTCGTCGCGGTGAAATCGAGAGGACCGCTCGGATAATGAAAGAATTCGGTCCCACGTATTGAACGGGTTGTTCGCCGAGGACCAGGTGGTTCAAGGCGAGAGGGGGGCGCGCGGCGGCGGGGGAGGGGTGGAAACGAACGAGACCGCTCCGAGGCGATCCGTGAAAGGGGTGTTTGATCGTGTTGTCGAGTTCGGAATAAATTCCCGGCCGGAACTAAAGTGGACCGGGAATTTTTCCGCCGCGGCCCGCGCGCCGTCCCGGCCTCCCTTTTGTCGCCGAGAGGGGCGGGACAAGAGTTCCCGGCGATCGGTCGTCGAATTAACGAACCGGCCGCGCCGAGGCGAACTTCCACGTTAATTAAAAATATTCAACTCATCCGCGAGATAACGGCCGGCCGGCTCCCCTGTAATACGTATATTTTTATCGCGTTTAACGGGCTTACTTTCGCGAACGACCGATAAAAACCGCGCCCCGAAACTTTCGCAATAGAGTAACCGGCCGGACGGGTTCACACCGGCGCGCCACCGGTAATAGCTTTAATTCAGCCTTATTATTTTCAGACGGAACTTTCGCACCGGTTGCCCGAGGAAACTGCCGACCCGACGGATTACGACCGTTTAGGCGAGCTAATCCGTCTTCGCTCGCGGCGCTGCGTTTTTAGCGCGTCCCTACGACGCGCCGGCGAAACTTCGCGGGTACGCGAGTTTATGCGCGGCTACGGGTTCAACGAGAGTTTGGGATTGATGGCTTTATGAGGGACGACTGGGATCGATTAGAACGACGGGCTGATTTATCAGTCGACGAAAATTGAAGGGAAGAAGGGAGGATTGAATGGGAATGGTAGTTTGGATTGCGCGGAGAATTAAAGTGAAACGTTCTCAAATGAAAATAGAGTGTTACTCGACATTTGCTAAATCCGTCGATTTGACGGATACTGAAGTTTTTAAACGTTATTCGACTATTATGCGAATACTTATTGTGATAATCTAACTTTGAAGCTATAATTTGCGCGATCTATATGGATAAATACTTAGTTTTCTGTAATTAATACAATAAAGTGTAGAATAAACGTCGCGAATCTACTGTTAACACTAAACCTACCAGATGTCAAAATCACCCATTCCTGGTTTCTTCTTTTTGCAATTATTAAAAGGATGACAGATATTTCTCGAAGAGAGTATTCAAGAAATTGAATCAGCAACACGTATACTAAATTATCAATCAATTAATGATGAATGCACTCTTGAAGTTGCTATAGAGGAATTTCGAAAAATGAATTTAACTGCTCGGGTTTAGTGTTAATAAGCGATACTGATAAGAAGAGTGAAGCTGGAGGAAGAATGGAGACAAAGTTCATTTTCCTACGCACACTTGCTTGCGATATTTGTCTTGTTAAATACTAGCACAAGATAAACATCGATTTCACTCGATCGTTACCGGTGTTCGTTTCGTCGAACCGTGGAGTCCCGCTAGATTTTCAATATTTTCATTCGATGCGACGAGTTGTTCGTTCGCCCGCCGGAAAGTGCGATGCAGGGAATGCGTTTTAAAGTAATTTGATACTTCGTTCGCTTTTTGACGCGAGCGTTGAGGAACGGTAATCGTTGTTCTAATAAATTGGAAAGACGAATAATTTTGAGACCACGCTCGGTATGTCAATGCCTGCGGCGCGTACAAATGATCGCAAACAATATTAAAACACCGACCGCAGGCTATAATTGCGACAGTATAAGAAATATTTAACATCGGCCACGTCCCGTGCGAGCTTGAATTCCAGCTTCATCCGCGCTTCTCGTTATCTCTTCTTGCCGTTGCAATTTTTAAACGCAGCCGCGCGGAACTATTCATCAAAAGTCTTTTGATTTGTATTTTCGCCGGAATAAAGCCACACCTTCGAATTTCGAATTCTGGGAACGGAGTTCCGCGGAATATTCATGGATATAACTTCGCGTTTGTGACATTTATTTCTAGAAAGGATCCCTGAAGAAAAAGAGGTCGATGCTCGCACCTATTTTTATACAATCCCAAACCGACCAGAAAATATTTTTAATGTACACGATTGAGGCTCGCTTGATTCCTTTCTAAATTCGAACGGTTCATGAGGGACCCTCGCGATTATTTTATTTAACCCTTAAACTTCATCTCCTTATAGTACCTTATCACAATTTAAACCTGAACTCGAGAAGTCTGAATATTATATGCTTCTCCTGAATACAAACTAAACATTACTATGTTACCAAACGTAGACAAAACAAGTATCAAATTCTCCTAATAACCTACTCCCAATAACGATTAATAATCAATACAACATCCCCACAAAAAAAGAAAATAAAACAATTATGAAATTCTCCTAGTAACCTACTACCAATAACGATTAATAATCAGTACAACATCCCCACGAAA